AGCATTTCAAAGAGATTCATTTATTAATTTAACAAGTATTGGTTGAATGGATAATGTATAACATGCCCTGTCCTAATGTTGAACAGGACTGTGTTTATGGACTTGGCATTACAGTAGGAGAGATGAACAAGAAACAAGTAAACAAGGACTAGCCAGTTTGCTCAGTTGGTTAGAGCACCATGTTATAACACCAAGGTCAAGGGTTCAGGTCTCTTACTGGTCAGCCACCAAAAAAAAAAAAAAGAAAGAAAAGAAACAAGTAAACAGATACATGATGTATTTCTCTGTGGTAAGTGCTACGAAGGAAACAAAAATAGGCTGATGAGATACATGGAGATTGGTAGTGGCCACTTTAGAGTAGATCTATCTAAGTCTGGACAGGTCTTCTGAGGAGGTGATATTTGAGCCCAGACCTAAAGGATGAGATGGAGTCACCCTGCAGAAAAGTGAGGAAGCAGCATTTCTGACAGAGGGAAGAGTAAATGCAAAGACCATAAAATGTGAATAAGCTTAATATGGTCGAGGAACAGAAATAAGATTCATGTGACTAGTGTACAGTGAAGGAAAGGGAAAGGGGTATGAGATGAGGTTGGAGAGTTGATCCAACCAAATCAGTCAGGGCTTTGAGGGTCAAAGTGAAGATTCAAGATGGGTCTTGAAGATCCCTAAAACATGGGAGGCCATTGAAGAGTCGTATATAGAGTGATATGATACAGTCTACTTTTCAAAAGAATTTTTGTCAAAAATCACTAACCACAAAACAAACAAAAACATAGCAAATTGGGCTTCGTAAAAATTTTAAAGATCTGTTCATCGAAGACACCACTAAGGATGTGAATAGATAAGCTACAGACTGGAAAAAGTATTGGCAGAGCATATGTCTGATGAAGAACTTATATCTAGAACATATAGGGAACTCTTCCAAGTAAACAATACCCCATCCCTCAGCCCCCAAAACACAGACACACACACACACACACACAAAACAGTGGGCAAAAGACTTGAACAGACACTTCACAAAAGAAGATTTACAGGTGACATCAGGGAAATGGAAATTAAAACCACAATGAGATACAATTTCATACCCCCTAGAGTAGCTGAAAACAAAAAGATTGACAATGCCAAATTTTGGCAAGAATGTGAAGCAACTGAAACCCTCATCCATTGCTTAGTGTGTAAAATGCAAAAACTACTTTGGAAGACTGTTTGGCATATGGTAAGCATATACCTATCCTTGACCCAGAAATTCCACTCACCGGTATTTACCGAAGAAATATGCAAACGTGCACAAAAAGCTTTGTAAAAGAACGTTCAGCCTTATTCATAACAGCCCTCAACAGGAGAATGGATAAGAAACTCTGGTATATTCATACAGTGGAAGATTATCCAGCAGTAAAAGAGAATGAACTACTGATATACACAAAGATAGGGTGAATCATCAAAAACATTATGCTAAGCAAAAGAAGCCAGCTACAAAAGAGTACATATTGCAGGAAGTCCAAGAATAGGTAAAACTAATGTATAATAATAGAAATGAGCGAGGGGTTACCTAGGAGGGGAGGGCAATTGATTGGAAAGAGGCAAGAGGGAGTTTTGGAAGGTGATCAAAATATTATTATATACCTTGCTTTGGATCATGGTTACATAAGTACATACAATTGTGAAAACTCAAAACAGCATACCTGAGATCTGAGCATTTTATTATAAATAAATTATACCTCAATAAATACACATACATTTAAACACACACACACACTCATTTTTAAAGAAATGCACATGTGTCCTGCCTTGAACTGTTAAGGTGTCCTTATGAAATGTGGCATAAAACAAAGAGACTTGGAGATACACACACTTGGGTTCCAGTCCAGTGAACAGGTGACATAGCTTGGGCAACTTACTTAGTTTGGTTCAGTTTCCACTTCTGCAAATAAAAACAAAAATCTTCTTCACAAGATGACCATGAGAATTACATGGAAGATTAACTATAAAGTGTCTGACCCATTACCTCTTACCTGCGAGGTTCTCAATAAACTTATCTATTTTAAAAAAATTATGTTTAAATAAACTGTAATCCTGAAGGTCCAACTAAAAATATGTTTTACAGTTCCACTTTGCAAATGATGCCATATGCAATTTAAGACAAAAATTCAAAAATCAGAAGGAAAAAGTGGAAAACAATAAGTTAAAGAAATCCCTCTACTATGGGAGAGAGCCTGTGGACACAGCTGGTAGCTATCAATTACTTACAAGTATTACAGGAAAATCTGGCACCTTCTGTGATCATACACAAATCTGTCATCATCATGTCCTACCTCATCTTTTACCAAGTGTCAGCAGGGAAGGGAATGGCTGTTTGGCATGGAAACTAAAATTAAAAAGCTGTGATTACTGGAGGTGGTCAGCCTCTACTTTTCTAAAGGAAACTCCCATTTTTACCTTTCCAGATGTCTCCATGANATGTTAGTTTCCTATTTTACAGATGGGCAAACTCCCATAGAGTTACAAGGGCCAGAATTCAAATTGAGATAGTCTGATTTCAGAGCCTCTGCTCTTAATCACTATCCAAATCTGCTTACTGCACTCACAGTCCTATCAGTTCCTTGAGGTCATAGTGAGGCTGATTTCATGGGCGTACCTAGAAGACAATGGAATTAAAAACTCAGTTCCCTCGGCTTAACTCCTGGAGGGAAAACCATTAATAACCTTTCTGAGTAACAGATGATACGAATCAGTAATTAAAAATATCCAACATTAAACTCATGACCTCCACCAAACCTGACCCCAGTGCTCTAGATCTCAGTGACTACGTCCTGGACTCCCCTCTTTCTCTCACTCCCATCTGTCCTTGTCAATGTCCACTGTCACCACTGGAATCTAAACTATCCTCATGTTTCACGTGGACCATGCCAGGAGCCTCCTGATTCTTGTCTCCTTCCATAGAGTACTTCGTCTACTCTACAAGAATAACCATCTTTTAAAACAAATTCATCAGGATGGTGCTCTGCTTAAAACCTTTCGATGACTTCTCATTGCTCTTAGGACAAAGGCCAAAATTCCTAGCATGAGGGCTGTGTCTATCTTTTTACACTTTTTTATCTCCAGTGTCTAAAACAGTGCCCAGCACATAGTAGGTCCTCAGTAAATATTTGCTAACTGACTGAATAGATGAGTGAAGGAATTGGATTCCCCTCGTGTTTGGACCTGGGGCTGCCTTGCTGTCTCGTTGCTTGTCTCTCCCACCCTGGTTTTCTGGTGTCCATCCGTGCTTGTCTTTTTTTGGCCCTGAGATGTGCTAGTCTCTTTTCTGACTCAGAGCCTTTGCACGTGCTGCCCCCTCTGCCTACTGCACTGTTCGTTCTCTCTTCATTTAATTCCTCCTACTTATCTATATATACCTCGGTACATTTTCAGAGAAACCTTCCCTGACCTTAGCCCCCCCAGAGCTATATATATATTTTAATGTCCTTGTCATTCTCCTTCATAGCTGCTACCACGATCTGTCTTGCTCTCTCACTAGACTGTAAGTTCTATCAAAGTAGATCCATTACTGTTTTGCTCAACGATTTATTCCTACAACTTAGCACAAAGTCTGCCCAATTATACACTCTGTATAAATATTTGTGAAATGAATGAGTGAATGATTGAATATATTGAAACCAAATACATTGAAATAAAGTTATTGAAATATTTTAAAATATGTGATGTAGTAATAAATTTGATTCTCTATTAACACACCAAATAACAAGCTCTAGTTGTACTTTAATTTTGAAATGATGATAAATATAAATGATATTTTTAGATGACTGCCATAATTGTAAAGTGATGTGGAAATACCTATAATTTCTACTGGTCACAAAATCACAGGTATTACTAATACTACTGTAGTTTGTGGCCTTTGTTTTTATGACTGAAGGAAAGACTAAATTTCAGATAGAGCTCAGTGGCAATGAAGAAGTAATTCTCTTCCCGTCCCAGTTGCTGGTCCCCTTGGATATTCGTGGACCTCAGGTTAGAAACCCCTGCTGTGCAGTATCACAGCAGAAGCTTAACTTGCTCATGTCGGGATCAACAAAGCACTCGATATCTCGAAGACGTCTGCCTCCAGGTTCAGTCTCTGACAATCACTAAAGCATGAACTTTAGGGTCAGATAAATCCAGAATCCAGTCCCAGCTCTGCTGGCAGGTTAGTTATGTGACCACAGCCAAGTTATCTAACTCCCTGGACATCAGTTTCTTCCCTACAAGAATGAGAATAACATGAGAATGACATGTAAGTATCTCACAGAGTGAACAGCAAATAGTCACTCTAGACATATTTTTCTTTGTTTGCAATGAATTGAAATCCACCTTTTTGAAATTTCTACCTAGTTTTGCCCTAGCTCTACCCTCTAGGGCTGCACAAGTGATGGGTCTTCATAAACTTGGAGACAGTTCTACTCTGCCCCTATATTGGTCATTACATGGTGACGCTGTTGCTCCCTTGAGAGTAAAAGAAAATCTGAGAATAAGGCTGGGAGTGATCTGTGCTGTTGCCCATTCCCGCAGAGACATGTGACATCCCCGAAACAGCCACACTGTTAGGATCAATGTTTTCTTTTTTTTTTTTTTTTTTTTTCCCTTTTTTATCTTTTTTCGTGACCGGCAACGGATCGCAACCCTCAGTGTCGCGCCCGTACCGGACCGGGACCAGCAACGGGATCACAACCCTCGGTGTTGCACCCGCACCTCGCTCAGCCAGTGAGCTGCCGGTCTGTATGTGGGATCCGAACCCTCGGCGGGAGCGCCACTGCGCTCCCAAGCGGCGCACTGTAGCAGTGCACCACCAGGTCGGCCCTCAATGTTTTCTTTTGACAAGACTCCCTGTAAGGTCTGGCATACCAGTCCTTACTAAGGCCCTGTAGCTTTTGTTCCTAGGTGGTTCACAAGTGTGTGGTCAGAGTGCTCTGTGTCTTGTGGTGAAGGATTCCACAGTCGGCAAGTAACATGCAAGCAGATGAGAGCCAATGGAACCGTGCAGGTGGTGTCTCCAAGAACATGTGCCAAAGACCGGCCTCTGGGAAGAAAACCATGTTCTCGTCATCCATGTGTTCAACAGGTCACTGAACCAGGAAGCCAGGTAAAGCTAACAAATTAGTGTGTTGACAGCTCTATCTATAATTATCACCTTGTTTCTAGTAAACTTCTTTTTAATTTTAAATTTCGGGAAGAAATCTGATTGTTCTCCAAAATGAATATATGTCTCTGTCCTCAAAGTTTACATTTGGAAATCATAGCGTCTCTGTCTTCCAGTACAAAAATGAATCAAGTTTGGGGTTTTTTTTAATGCAGTGGTGCCATCACAGAATCTCCAAGATAGCCCAGTTTAGGGTGGTAG